ATAAATCTTCCTTAAGGTATCAGGTCTAGCTGTTACATGAGCATTTAATTACTTTCAAATTCAGGTACATTAGCAAATTCAACCCTAAATCCATCATTTTATTTGATGGTAAACTTCATTCAAAGATAAATTTGCCCAAACAGATGCTAATCTTGTTCCATAGAATTTTAAGTTTGCCTTATAAAAGGGATTTGGGTGCCTCTGCCTCCCTGAATTTCAATTGGATTCAGAAATAGCGCTTCAGGCTAGTAAGTGCTCAGCTGTGCTATTTTCTTTGTCTGTGCTGATTCCTTTAAGTAATACCTGCATTTGAACATTTTCCTAAATTTGGGACATCTTCTACAGAGGAATTAATTAGTTCACTGTCCTAAGCAAGCTTTTTATTTTTTATAAAATACTACTACTACTAAGTACATATTCTACTTGCATGACTTTGTCTCTTTATAGATCAATATTCTTTTTCTTTTGGATGCACAAGAATAAAAAGTGCAAGATGCTATCCATATATAAAACTAAGGAGATACAGGACTGGAGAGGCCTCTGTGTCTGTGTGATAGGTATTGTATTATACAATTTCTTTCATAAGTGTTACAGGCTCTGCCTTGAAAGTAATTTTGAATTAGGCTGCTATTCTTCTCCATGCCCTTCTGAATTGATTAAACCTGCAGAAACATGCTGCTTTGCTTTTTAGAGGTTTCCTTCTAATGTCCACACATAAGTTATTTATGGTCAGTTCACCTGTTCTTGTGCCAACATGGCTCTGCTCTTCTTCCTCCCTGGGGTTTGCCTCACCTCCTACTAAGCCTGATTGTACTCATACACAATAATCAAGTCCTTCTGTATCGTGCTGGACTACTGAAGGCATACCTACCTACTCTCTGCTCTCATTATATAGACTTCCTTCTTTTGATCTTCCTAGAACCAATTCCCAGTTTCAGTAAGAGTTCATCATTCTTGGACACAGTTAATCAAAACTCTCTGCAGTATTCAAAGTTAGGTCCATCAGTGCTTAATACAATAGAATTAACACTTCCCTCTCTCTGCTGAATGTAGCTCAAATAACACAACTTCTGATCACATTTCCTTTTTTCATGGCTGCAAATTATAATTTTTCTCCAAAAAAGGACTTTAGTTTTCATTGTTGTTATTTATAAAGAGACTATACCTTGTGAAATGTCCAATACTTCATAGTTCATTAAGAGAAAAAAGCCTGAACCTTGGTAGGGAATCTGTTATCTAAACTTCAAAGCTTCAGCATTAAAAAAGAAGGCTTCAGCATCTAAAATACTGAGCATCTGAAGAGGTTCTATTGTAAACCATAGGACCTGAACAGGTTTAAATTACATTTCAAAATTCATTTTTATTCCCACTTTCAGCTTATGTGTCACTAGTACAGATCTGAGCTTTTAATTAGATTTGGGTGAGTACAGATTTAAAAAAAGGTGGGGGTAGCTTGGGACTTACCTCTGACATTTGATTGCACCGGTATTTGCTACCTTTCTCATGAACAATATTATAAGAATGTTCATGGCTTTCACAGAAAGCTAAACTATCACAATTCAGCATGAATCTCATTGACTGAGCAGTCGTGAATGATAAATAAAATACATCTTAAAAAAATCACAGCCTATTTTCTTAGCATTTCAGAAAGATAACTGGCAGCAAAACCCTATAAATTCATTATTTACTGAGTTTTGTATAGCCTATAGATACAGTATGATATGAAATGCCTAGCACAGCGTATTTGTGTCTTTGTTCCTTGCTTGTTTCCAAACAGATTTAAGAAAGCCAGCAGAGTGGACACTTTTCCATCTAGAAATGTCTTCCAAATTTCTCAGTCTGACCATGTACTTCATGATTCTTCCTTTTAATGAAGTAAAAAATTATAGGCAAGAGATTGGCACTTCTCGCTGCACAATGGCATGAAGGAAGACTTACTGTGCAAATTTCCTGAGGGAGGTATAATTTTAATTAATTAGCAAATGATATTTTTCAAGTTAGGTTATTTGCAGCCCGAAGGTGAGAGGATCTTATTGTAGAATCTGAGTGCATTAAACATTCATTCATTTACTGTGACATAAAATTCCAGTGAGTTTGTAAGTATTATTAACCTCATTTCACAGTAGGGAACAAGGCACAACTGTCCTTGTCCAACGAAATACATAAGACACTTCAAAGAGATCTCTAAGCCCACTTGGCATTACCCACCTGTTAAAAGTTACATACATCAAAGAATTTGCTTGGGTGTGGCCTGAATCAAAAGGATTTGCTCATACAGACAAGGCTCAGGCCTTAACACACTTGTTCCAAGTTCCTAGGCCAGACGTACATTTCTTTGGTTCTAGAGGAAAAGACAGAGGAAGAGTTGCTAAAAAGAGTTCCAGCTGTATGCTTCTGCACAAACAATAGAAGTTTAAGAAATAAATTGGAGGAACTACAATTCCCCACCAAAATACTGACGGTAATTGCGAAACAGGAGTATCAAGAAGGTATAAATAGGAGCAAACATAATGTGAAAGACAGAGTAGGTCATGCTATTAGAGAAGCAATGATACATATTAAAGAAAGCTTGCAGTTATGTATTGCACATAATATAAATATTACATAATACTTTCCATTATTATGGAATATTGCCATTATTTCCAGGTCGAGGGAGGTGATCCTGCCCCTCTCCTCAGCCCTGGGGAGGCCTCACCTGGAGTCCTGTGTCAAGAAAGGCTGCGAGAGCTGGGCCTGTCCAGCCTGGAGAAGAGAAGGCTGAGGGGGAAATCTCACCAATGTCCACAAGTATCTGAAGGGAGGGTGTCAAGAGGACGGGGCCAGTCTCTTCTCCGTGGTGCTCAGTGACAGGACAAGAGGCAACGGGCACAAACGGAAACCCAGGAAGTTCTGCCTGAACACAAGGTAAAACTTCTTTGCTGTGAGGGTGACAGAGCCCTGGAAGAGGTTGCCCAGAGAGGTTGTGGAGTCTCCTTCCCTGGAGATATTCAAAACTTACCTGGATGCGATCCTGAATAATGTGTTCTAGATGGCCCTGCTTGAGCACAGGGGTTGGACTAGATGATCTCCAGAGGTCTCTTCCAACCTCAACCATTCTGTGATTCTGTGATTCTGTGATTATATCAGTCATAAATTATAACATGGTAATATAATAATCATGACAACAAGTAACGTGGAATGCCTCTGGATTGAAATACCAGGATTGAAGAGGAAAAGGACAGTATTATTTGGCTAGTATGACAAGAACAGATAAAAGTGATTTGAGAAGGGAGGTAGGGAAAACTAAGTTAGATGCTACTACTGGTAAATTAGTGGCTCTTGTTATAAAGAATAGAAGCTGTTATGAAGAACAGAAGATATGATCAAAATATGATCAGCTGGATAAATATGATGTGGGAAAAATAAACACAGGCTTTGTGAAGGGAAGCCATGCCTCACAGCCTAGAGAGGCAAGTGCTCCGAAGCAGTCGGTGAGTGAGCATGAGGGGGTCTGGTGGCGGCTGCTACTGAGGTACCAGCAAACACTCAACAGCATCACTCACCAACGGTATCCAAAGAAATTAAGTTGCCATGGGAAAAGAAGAAAAGTCCTAATGTGAAAAAAATAATGAGAAACAAAGGATCGGAGTAAGTAGTAATTTTTCACAGTGGAGGACAGGCACCAGCAGAACATAGTTTTGCTCAGGGCAATGCTGCTATTCAATGTTGTCATAAATGATGTGGAAAAGAAGAGTGTAGTGAAATGACAGAGCTTGAAAATATGGCCAGCTGTGGAAAAAAAGCAGAAGGGCTTTATGATACTGACACCTCAAACAATGAAATAGCAGATGAAAATCAATGTAGGTAAATGTAGTGATGCATTTGGGGAAAAAAGTTCCCTACTTTACACTTTCGTTGTCAGATCCCCAATAGATTATAATCACTGAGTTATGAGCTTTTGGCATTGTAAATAGATGATCAGATGAAAAGGCTGCCTTAGTGTTTAGCAGCAATCAAAAAGCAAAACAAACATTAGAAATTACTACAACGTGGAGAGAGAACAAAAGAGAGAATATTACTAGAATACCATACAGATCAATGTCCCACTTGTATCTGAAAGACTGTGGAGTTCCAGCAATGAGAAGAGTCAAAAATACAATCAAAAGTATGGAATATTTTCAGTGTAATGAACAAGAGAACAGGCCTAGATTCTTTTCTGGAAAAAAATAAATAAATAAAATAAAATAAAGGAAATTAAGAAAAAAGGTTTAAGAAAGGTCTGTAAATCTTGAATGGCATGAAGAATGACTTTTTCCCATATAGAAACTCAGATGAATCAAATGAAAGTAATAGGCAGAAGTTTCAATCCAAAAAACGGAGATATTTCTGCAAAGTTTTAGAACTCCTAACCTTAAAGAGCTGTGGATATTAAAAGCCTTTATTTGGTTCAGAAATTGCTGGACGAATTTGTGGAGACTAATACATTCAGAAGGGTTAAATACAAAGCCATTGATTCTAATGAGGAATTCACTAAACCACAGATTATTGGAGGCCAAGAAAGTGTTCTGGGAAAATACTGATATACACTTGCTCTATTCCTATATTTTTCATTGCTATCTAAGAGCTCATGAGTTAGTTAGACTACTGTTTCCATGTGAGCATTTTCATCCTGAGGGAAGTGTGTATAGATTTAAAAATGTAAGAATACTCAGTTAAATTGGGAACACCTTTTCCTTGTTATGTGATAATTTTTGCTGTTTTTCAGTCCCTACTAATAGACAATAATATTACAAACACGTTCACTGATATTTTATGAACAGAAACACTAAGGCTGTACATTTCCATTTTCTGTAAACAACATTTACACAGTATGAGCATAACGCATTGACATGATATACTCTGTTAGGGGTATATAAGTAGAGAGGGAGAAGCAGTTTAGCAAGGTCAGTTCAGTCAGCAATTCAGTCTTTAGGTTTGACTTTACTATATTTGTCTCTTCATATTCATAAGATTTAAATCTAGACCAATATCAATAAGCTATTTCCTGAATTAAAACAAACAAGCAAACAAAATCACTGCATTTTACATAAAATAGATGGTATAACAGAATTATTTTACTTCTTAATTTAACCATTATATAGAGAGATGAAGAGATGATAAGTATAGCAATTCGTTATATTGAGGAAGAGGCAAATGAAATAGATGCATATATCATAAATCTATTTGCACAGCTAGATATTTTTGCAGGATAGAAGAATTTTTCTAAAGAAAATATATTTCCTGGATTGGAGGAATTCATCTGATATACACTTTCAGTCTATATTTCTTCTAATATTTTTGTTTCTAAATCTGCTTAAAGAACAATTTAACTCAGAAAAGGCCTCAGAAATGCCCATGCCATACATTTTTTCCTCTCTCAATTATTCTAATATCACTCAAGGGTATCAAACTTTCATCCTCATATTCTGTTCAATATACTATGATGCCCATAGCAACAAACAGAACGGCAAAACCTGTAGTAGAGAAATGCACACTGCATGCATAGTAAACACAAAGATGTAACATCAGTATTTCACATTAATGTCACATTAATCTCTTCATTTTTCTCTGTAAACGCTACAATATCTCCAACTATTTTCTTCCATTTTCTCTCATGCCTTTAATAATGCAGACTACCATTGTTTGTATTGTCTGATAATTTTAGGTTGAACAAGCTCTTTCAGAAACAGTATCAATATTCACATGTGACACTTGACTTCATTTAGGCTGGGGCTTGTCTATTCCTGCAGCATCATGTTTTTTGTGTTAGCATTCAAATTCATTTAGTGCCCTGTACAATTCATATAAAAGATGATAATTGAATATATTTTCTAACATAACCGCAGGTCACCTGTAAAGAGATTGGAAAATTACTCTCGGCATCAGTTTAACGACTCCTAGAAAGTGAGGGAAAAAATAATGACAATTAAAAGAATAAGGTTAATGGCATGGAAGAACATTTTCTGTCCACAGCAGGTAGCACATCTGGAATTCTCTACACTCCCACTTCCCTTCCCTTAAGTCAGGAAAAGACTTCACATCTTTAAAGAGAAGAAAAAACAGAAACAATATTGAGTAAGTTTCCTATTACATAATTACTATGCTAAAGTAACTCGGCTTCTGGTTTTATCGTGGGTTTATGAAACAATCCTTCACAATTCAAAACTGAGTTTAAAAAGTATATGCAGTGAACATTGTATCTTCTTTTTATGTGGCTTCTTTTTTTCTTGTCATTTCCAGTGCTTCCAGGGGTTTTAGTCCCATGTCCTCTCTCACTGAAAATGACCATGACTTCCCTCTCAAGTGTATCCAAATTTTTTTTGTTGTTTATTTAATTGGGCAAGACAAGTCTACTAGTCTGTTATAATACAGATTTAGTACTATTTTGGTGCAAAGTTCCTTTCTGACAGAGCTTGTGCTTACTAAAACAAGTACTCACTTGCAAAAATAAGCAGATATTCCTTCCCACAGGAAAAGATCTCTGGCATGCGTTTGAAATCATATGCGAACAGTGTAAGCTGTTTACATTTCTGTTGAAATATTACAATATCCATGTTCTTTTTGTTAGCTTCCAACTCTGTGGCTTGACATTTTCATTTGGTATTTGACACCAGAATTCCTCAGGTGTGTTTCCTTCAACATATTTCTTTTTGTCACCTTGTGATAGCAGAGGGTATTCTTTTACATAACTCCTTGTTCCTCCAGTAAACTTGAGTTAGTAGATGTCAGACACTGGAATAAATTTACATTATATTTACGTACTCTATCATTTTATTCAAGGTCATTGAGATATGAAAAGAATGTTATCATACTGTCTGTTTCCTTACTTCAGGCAGTTATCACTGAAACCTAAGTGTATCTTTCTGTCTGCTTCCAGAGGGCAAGATAAACATAAATGTGGTTTACAAAAATTCATTTAGAGTTGACAAGAGTGTAGAGTTAGGTCTTCAGTTCCTATTCTCTCCTCTGGTTTCTTCCGGGGAAAAACTTATGGTTGCCTTTTATTCAGGTTTCCATCAGCTCACATTTTCTTCTCAAAAATGTCTCATTTTCTTTTTGAAATTTCTCCTTGTCACACTGCTGCTGGTCACAATAACCCTTTACGAAGAGAAAAGCAGATATGATTAAAATGTCCCTTAGTGGGCTCGATGAAGACACGGTAATGGCAGCAATTTCCATGCAATTTTAGTAAAATACTTCAGCACTTACTGAACATCTAAGTAACTCTTAACTACTGTAACTTATAATCCACCTTGTCTAATTGTACACATTCCTATTAAGAAATGTTCTTAACAGTTTTTACAAAAAGGAGAATGTTACAGAAATAAATGCTGGAAGCTGTGCAATACCTTTATGAAAATTAGAGTACATTCTGCTAAACGATGTATTTGTAAGTGTGTGTGTGTGTGTTTATAATCCTTAAAGATAAAGATATACTCCAAAAAGAAAGATTTAATCTTTCATAGAAAATTAAGTAAAAAATTAATTCAGAATTTGTGCTAAAATGAAACTGATTAATTCCTTTGAACCAGACACACAACAAATATAGCTGCTTTAAGTTTGGCAAAGTCAATGGCAATTTGGCAATGCAGACATTTTCCATCAGTTATTAGTATATAGCTCTGAAGCATATTAAAGAAATAAAATCTTACTATTCATGTAATTTTGAAAAGCATACTTCTTTAGACTTACAGACTGTATTTTTATTAAGCTGTTATTTTCATCAAGCACCTGCAATGAGAACTGACCTGCCACAATATTGAAACAAATGACAATGGAGAATAGGAAGAGCAAAGTTTCAGCTGTTTAACTCCTTGATGTTGAATGTATTTGCTGTTAAACCGGTCCAAGTTTTCTTCAGATGCATTCAACTGCAGGCTTTCCATTAACTTTTGTAGGAGCTAGATAAGAATTTCCAAGGGCAAAAGCTATTAAGTGTAACGTATATTATTAATGTGTTTATGTCTCCCGTACTATATTTATTATAAGCACATTAATGAAAGTGCCATGAATTTTAGGGTTGATTTATAAGAATGAGGTACTGTTTACAGCCTGATTATTGCACACTGGAAATATTTTATTTAACTAAACTATATGCATTTGCAATTTATTAAGACACTCGTATCACTCCAGGGAATAGTCTCTATTAAGAAGATCAATGACCTGCAGGTTTGTGGTGGTTTCTTTTGAACTTCAGTACTGAAAGGAAAAAGTTATTCAAATTTTTATTGAGAATCAATTTTTAGGCAAGGAATTTACAGAATAATATAAATACACTGATAAATTATGACATAACCACTTTAGAGATAATGAAATGGAATGTAATAATATTAATAAATATGGAGATAAAACATGCAGGGCCCAAATCAGTCTCCCGGTAGGCCCTGTCTCTTCTCCACATTCCACAGAGGAAGCTACAAACTCCCATTGGTACGTGGCTTTTCTAAGGTCTTCAAAAGTTTCTGAAAGAGTCTGGATATGAGTTCGCTCACTAGAGTTTCCTTATGAGAGTTATGAGCGCTGCTATCTGTTCATATAATCCATTTCTCGGTCCAGAGTGACTTTAGCTGTAATAGTCATATGTAGTTCATTCATCCATGCATGAAAAATAAGCATTTGAGGTCCTTTTTACATTTTTATCCCTTTTTGCATTTCGTGTAATGTTAAGTCAATGGAATTTGAATACAAGCATAGATGCTTGAATGAAGGACAACATTCCACAAAGTATACTTATATATATAGGTGTGTATACATGAAAATTTATAATATATAGACATAAATAAAACTTGCTAGCAGATAGAGAGAAGTTTAAGATGAAAAGCAAGCCAAAAGATACAAAAATGAACTAGAGTTAGACACCTCAGTGAACACAAACTTCCAAGCTAACGATGCTGAAATCAAAAAATGAAATTGTTTCTAGAAGTCTCCCTCTGAGGATATCGAAGTCCTCCTTTGACCTTCACCACTATGTTTTGACACAGTGGGGTGGAAGCGTCAGTTATATTTTATAGTGCTTTGATGAGGCCACAATGAACTTGCTCATTATTACACCAGACACAAAAGCATTTGTTATTCCACAGCAGCTTGACTTTAAGATATGTTCTCATCCTACAGGGTAATTCTTTTATTCCAACGGGTATTAGATCGTCTGACTACATGCAATGTTTCACTTGCTTTCCTGTGTAAAAAATTCTAATGCTATTTTGCTTTATTTCAAAGTTTCTTTTCCCCTATGCGGTTCATAGGTGAAATTTCAGTTGCTAATCAGTGTTAAGGAGCATGAAGGGCAGAGAATAACTCTGCTAGCTGCAGGAGCGTATAGGAGAGAAGGGGCAGTGGAAAGAAAGGGACTTTCACTTTGCCTTCCCTCAGTACTGTCAGTTTCCCAACAGAAAAGGGTCATTGATATGGGAGCAGCAGTAAGTGTTTACATGGTGCTAGGAAAGTTTGGGAGACAGATGTCTCAGAGGGAAAACACTGAGTTTTGGCAAAAGTGAATAAATAAATAAAAAGGAAGAGGACGAGGACGAGGAAAAACTGTGAACCCTTTTGCTATGCATTAGAAAATTCACACTCATCCTTACTTGAATTGCTGTCTCTCTTCTACATCTCAAGATTGTCTAGCTTTTCTGATAGAACAGTCTTTGCAATGTAAATTAAAATTCCACTCAACAAGATCGGTGTCACCTATTGCCACCTGCTCTTCTACTTTCTTTTCCTAAATGTAAATGTTCATAATATTCCAGGTTCTTCTGAGTCTTTATTAATACTCATCCCTACCAGATATCTTCTGATCTCTCATAAAAAGTATACTGTTGTCATTAAAATGTGAATAATAGAAAACATCCTACTTACAGCCACTGTGGTTCCTAAGAGCGAATCTAGGAAGTGTACGCTTCAGCAGATCCTAATTTAATTTCTGGTAAAAGCAGAGAGCTTTGAATTAGAACTTTTCTTGACGTTGCTCTTGCACAAAAGATGTTGTGGCTGGTTCACACTCACACAAAGATTTATTAGAGGGTTCCGTAGCTGATGGTGTGTATCAACTCTAACAGTGAAAGTCATTGCTTTTGTTTTTGTCTTATTTTATTTTGTTTTGGGGGAGGGAGACTGTCCCCAGGGGCCAGCTGGGAAGAGAAGCAATGAGGGGTCCCCAGATGATAATCCTTCTCTGGGCTTCTGCTCCAGCTCAGCAAGCGTCCTCCCACATAATACTTCTCCTACAGTAACTAAATAGCTTTCTTTGGGACCCGCTCAAACTCCCAACTAGTTGTTCCTCTTACAATGCTGTTAGCACTGACTGGAGCATGCTTTGACCAGGGGCAGGGGCAGCATGCAGGTTAGTTGCTAAGCTCTGTGCATGGAAATTATTGGGTCTTAATAAGCTGAGCACTGCAACCATAAGGGTAGGAGAAGGAGGAGGGAAAGAAGGAGTGAGTCTCACACCAGGGGAATTATTTTCCATGAGAACCTGCCCTAACAACGCTGCTAGGGTTCGCACGTGGAAGGCCATGAGAGCGATGGGAGAACAATAATGAGGCAAAAGTACTGTCATAGGGGCTCTGAACACACTGCCATGGCAGTGACCAGGTGCGGAGCTGCAAGTGACTGGGAAGCCACAGATTGAAGGCCCTTAGCAATATAAAAGGCTCTGCAACACCTCTGGCTGAAGCTGTTGTGAAAAATTGTATTTTTTTTCAAGTGCAGGGAAAATTTGACAGCTGAAAATGGATGCTATGAAAAACGTCAGGTAAGTTTTGAGCTAATGAAAGAATTTCACAGATACTGCTTATTTGCATAAAATATCTATCTTTGTCTTCTAAAGTAAGATCTAAAACAATTTTATCCACTTAATAATAATGGTTAAAAAATAGCCACAGAGAGCTACATTTTAAGAAAAAGATCTAAAACAACACATTCAGAAACATCACAGCAAGAAAAATAAGTTCTAATAAATACAGTGATTCCCAGCCTTCACTTGGCGTATGATAAGAAATTGTTGAATTTGCTTGTGTAAGCATGTAATGGAAATTTGGGTTTCCAATTAAATATATATACAATACAGTTGATATAGCATGTCAGAAACAATAAATTCATTTATAGAATAAGTGGGAGGCATAGTTATTCAGATTGTATTGGAGGCTCCCCCCCAAAATATCTGATCAGATAACTTGATAAGGGAAGAATCAACATATAACTGACCTTGTGACCCAGAAAGTATTACTTTTCTTGAACCTAATTTAGTGATAACGTAAACTAGATGAAAGCAGCTCTGAAGAAGTAGAAGTGGAAAGGAATAGGAAGTGAAGGTCAAATGTCTGTGATGGATGTTATGATGCTCTGATTGGGTAGATGAAATTGGTGTTGTATATTCCCTGGGAACCTATAACAAGTGATTGATGGGATGGGAAAGCAGAGAGGAAAAAAAAAAAGGAAAAGAAAGGCCGGACCTAACATTACCAAGGAATTGCACGAGCACATGAGAAACAGCACCTGAACGTGATCTCCTCTACAGTGATGCATAAAATCTGATGAAATCTCACTCAGCACTAGCTTTCCCTATTTGTAATAAACATTGAGTTAATTTGATATGACCTGTAGTTGTTGATAATTAAGTCACACCATAGGTGAGACATTGTGTCACTCTATTTGCGTTTTGAAGTGGTATGTCATGCTGGGATATCTGTCTGCACTCACTGGAGAGACCTCCTATCTCACCTCCTCTGAGAACCACCTAGAGAATGGACCAAAGCCACCCCTCAGCCAACGGGCTCAGCTGGGGATGGCTGTGGCTCTTAGTCACCATGCAACAAGTGGGATCATCCATACCTCAAGAGTGTTTATCCGAACTTGCAACACATCGGTATTTGAAAATATACCACGAAACACTCTACAAAACGCACATAGATCCCAGACATCTGTATAGAGAGGTTTGTATCTAAAGTGATTCCATTATCAATCTATCTCAGAAAGTTCAACTTTTTTGCAGAGAACTTAAACAACAACAACTAATTCTGCTAAAAGTTTCCAACGAGCTTTGTTGTAAAATTTAAAATGATATTAAAAAACACAGGGATATTACTTAACAGGAAAAAACT